ACATTCCCTAGACTTGAAAGGAGACTTTGGCAGCCTGTGCCAGGTATTGCTGAGCATCCTGCCTAGATGTCATTTCTTAGCTATTAATCGGAGCAGCTCTTAATCAAGAATGGTTTTGCAGCAGATGTTCTTGTAGAGTATTTATGGGGTGAGAACCATCACCACAGGAGATCTTGAATTTATTACCTGTCACCCTTGTTCTAGTTCTTTACCAAAGATACAAAAAATTTAACTGTATAATAACAAAGACMAAATTTAAACAGCTTTGCTAACACAGGGATGTTTTTTGTGCTTTTTGTTTCTGAAATTAAAACAGGACTTTAATTGCAGTGGAGATCTGTTTCCCCTATAAATAGAGTGCTTTAACAATCTGTTTTATGAAAACCTCAATTATTTCTTGTACTGCCCGCTTCTATGTAGCTTGTTTGGAATTCATCACTAAACACAAGATTTTTCTGGTTAGGGGACCCAAGATGGTTACGATGCATTAGTGGTTGGCCTTGAAATTATTTATAGCAAGGGGGTCTCTAGCTAAAATTCTTTTTCTGGGCAGGACTGCARTGTTTCTTCCTGGTTTTGCACACAGCTTCGAATGAAGGTCTGGTAGATGTTATCCTAAAGGTKCTAGATGGGCCTATCCTTTATTCAGTGCAGAGTAACTCAGCTATCTCAGGTGAAGCAAATAAAAGCATTATTTAAGGGGAGACATTTGAGACCAAGCACTTTTGTCAACAGGACTCATGTCATCATACACTCCAGTTAAAGGGCTTGTGCTAYGCACCTGAATCCAAAGTGGGCAGTATGGGAGGGGGGTGTCCTAGGGGCTAGACTGATGGCTGATGGAGGACGAAGATCCCAATAAACCAAAAAAGGCTCTCCATGCAGTTACTTTCCTTAAAAAAAAAAAAAAAAAAAAAAAAAGGCAAAGAAAAAAAGAACAAACAAAGAAAAAAACCCACAAAAACAAAACCAAAAAAACCTAAGATAACTGATAACTGTGACCTAAAAGATGAGTGTAAATCGAGACGCAGCATGGGAAGGCAGAGAGAAGCCTCCGTGGGCAGTCGAGGCGCGCTCGCCCCGCTGGTCTGAAACACGTCGATCTCTTACCGCTAGCGCAAGGTGGGGGTTGTTGGTTAATCCCTTTCCTGAAGCTCGCTCTTCTTACCGCAGGGAAACAGCGGACATGGGGAAGGGAGCGGCAGCGGGGTAACACCTGCCGCCCCGCCCTCGTCCCGCCCCCGGGCCTGGCGGGGTCCCCGCGAGTGTCACCGCGGTGTCACTGCTCAGCTCGGTTCATTCCGATCCATCCCATCCCGCTCCTCTCCGCTCCGCGCTGCCCCCCAGGTAGGCGGCCAAGCGGCTCTGGGCTGTACTGGGGCTGGGGGCTGTCCCCGCCCCTGCCCTCGGCGCATCCTACGGGAAAGGGGCGGTAAGGGGACGAGAAGGGGAACTTTTTCCTTTTCCACTCAGTGGCTGGGGCTCCGCGGGGCTGTTCCCGTCCGTGCCCCCGGCGCATCCTAAGGGAAAGGGACGGTAAGGGGATGAGAAGGGGAACCTTTTCCTCTTCCCCTCAGCGGCGGGGTCTGCGAGGGGCGGTTCTCGGGCTGCCGGGGATGGGGACTGTCAGACAGCTGGGTTGAGTGAAGRGCTTGCGCAGTGCGGAGATGTGGACAAACGAAAGTGAAAGTACGCCTTCTTGGGGGTTGGGTTTGAGTATTTTTAGGGATGATGGTGGGCTTTCTTTAAACTAGAGCTCGATAAGGACGTCGGAAAGCTGCTGGTTGTTTATTTGTCTGGCACAGAGGAAGCTGATGGTGATATTGTGCAAATCCTGCAGAAAGATTGTGCAGGAAATACCCAAATTTTGCTGTAAACTCCTCCACGCAGTGGAGAAAAAAACAAACCGCGAGTCCGGCTGCAAGCAAGCACGGAGCAGCCGGAATCTGAGCTGGGCGAGCRGGAAGGTTGGCACAGCATCCAGCGGTGCTGCCACCGGCCCTGGGGTGGGGCTTKGTGCCTGACCCAGCCCTTGCGCCTTTCAGCCAGCTCCAAGGGCCTGCTGCTGAGCATCTCCCCAAAATGCATCGCTGCTCAGTGTCAGCCCTGAAGCTTTGTCTGCTCTGCGCTTTGCTCGTGTCTTCGCCGATCGGTGGCTGGTCACCTGCAGCTGCCACAAGCCCGGGCTCCCCGCCCGCGCCTCCGAGGCCGCCCAGCCCCGGTGCTCCTGGGTGCGGAGGGCCACGGCTCACTCGCTCTGGGCAGCGCAGGCGGGACACGGCGGTGCTCTCCGCTGAGGAAGGTCAGCGTGCACCGAGGCCTTTGGCGGGGCTGACAYCTTTCAGGGACATGGAGTTTGTGCCAGGAAGATGGGCAGGTGGCTGAGAGGCGTCTGAATGTCCCTGAGCAATGTCCCACAATGTCCTTTGTGTGAATGAGGGTGGATGAGCAGAGGGAATGTTGCAGGAGGGAGAACCCTGGCATGTGTGGGGTCTATGAAGCTGAGGGACTTTTGCTGTCCTAGCAGCACATACGCTTCCAATTTCAGATCTGCAGGGAAGAAGTTTTTAAAAATAGTGCCTTTAAAGTTAGTATGATAAGGTTGGAATATACAATTTAAGCAGAAAGAATTCCCCTCCCTTTTCAAAATTAGTGTTTTTTTTTTTCTTTAGAGAAAAAGGTGCACTGACAGTGATATCCTTGCAGTTTCTGTAAGCAGCTGCATTCCAGTTTAATCCAGTCTTTACTGTGTGAGTCACACAAGGTTAGACAAGGTGTTTGAAGAATGTTTCCCAGGGTCCTTATCAACTGTTTTATTTTTCAGCTATAACCATGGAGAACCTGCCTAATGCCAACAGCAGATTTGCACTTGATCTGCTCAGAAGGTTTAGTGAGGCCAACCCAACAGGAAATGTCTTCTTTTCTCCTGTCAGTGTCTCTGCTGCTCTGGCCATGGTTGTTTTGGGGGCCAAAGGTAATACAGAAGCCCAGATGTTAAAGGTTAGTAAAATAAAAAAAGTAATTAATTTTTTATTTATGTTTATTTATATTTAAAATGGTTGTGTTTTAGAGGAGGGAAAATGAGATGAGGGTATTTTTATGTGCTCAGGACAAGATTTCTGTCATGCACACTGAATCTTTCTCAGACTCTGCCGTTAGCTACCCACTGCCTATCCAGAGTCCTCTGTCTATGTTTTTTATGGCCCTTGTTGCTCATTTAATTTCACTTGTTAATTCTTGAAGGAGGAAACTAATTGCAATAGTCAGCCTCCATTTACATTGGTTGTAATTTCCAGCAGCAAAGCTGTATGAGTCTTCATGAGATATTTTGACAAACTATTGCTTTATACCATAAGATCACCAATGGTATGCTCATCATCAACAATTGTGTGTTGTAAAAAAAGCAGTAGCAATCTGTAGCTTTGTATCTAAAGTTTAGCAACAACGATGATACACGGTGATGTAAGTATGAATCTCTTACTAAGACCCAGGCAATYCCAGATTTTGAAGGAGCTAAGCCTGCATGGTTATCCTTACCATGGCCTTAGGTTAGGCAGGATAGTTTAAAAAACTTCTTTATAAATTGAAAAAAATGGTGCGCATAGGAGTGTGCCAGTTTCGCCTGAAACCTGTCATGGAAGGGACTCAGTCAGTGTTATTTTTGCACCCTCGTTAGGCTAATGCCTGTGAAAGGGCGTATGAGTGTCCTCATTGCAGTCATCATCATGTACTTGCCTATGAATAATTTCACCTTTGTATTCTGGACTTTAGGAGGAACTGTTTTATACTATTGAGTGTTGCTGTGCTTACTCAATAAAATGACTTTCCCACTGCTTGTTCAAACAGACTTTGAACATATTTCATGTAATCAGACTGACAGCCCCACCTAGGATAAACCTACTGACAGTAGGAATCATGCAAAAGGAACCTGGGGGGGAAATAAATGTGTTTCAACACAGTCACCCTCAACAGGGCAGGCTCCTGTACCCTAACACTTCACTTATGAACACAGTGCTAATTARGGAGACAGCAATTAGTAACTGTCGAGAGCCTTTTGCAAGCACACAGGAATTTGTTTCTGGGCTCATAATTCTTTTGTAAGGTTTCCTTCRTGATGTTCCTGCACAGCCATTCATCTGTACAGCACAGATTGCAGAGCTGGTGAGCAAGGCCTGACCAAAAACACAATGAGAGAAAGGGAAGGCTTGCCCTTGGATCCAGTGACTGCTTCATGGCAGTCTTCCCTGCTGGAAAATGCATGGTTTAAGTTGGAATGAGAATGTCTCGGCTTTGGTCTAGCCTTCCCTGTCCATTAGGTCTGACAGCTTCTGCTGTCATATCTATAAGCCTTGGCCAGCCAGCTTGCCACTGGAAAAGGAAGTAGTGGTAAAGAGAAATTGCAGTAATGCATTTGATTTTTAATCTAATACTTACATTTTAATACATATTTCTTTATATATATAAAAAAAGTGTATATATATATATATAGAAAGTATATATATATATATATATATATATATATACTATATATATATGTATAAAGTATATATGTATTAAGTGCATATATATATTTTTTTATATATAAAGACTTGTATTTTCATAACACTATAAAAAATGTTGCTCTCAGTTTTCTGTGTAGGTCACTTGTGCCAGTGGTGATCGTATATTGTGAAAAGCAAGTTTCTCTTGGGCCAAAGGGGAAACCAAAAAGCAAGAGCCTCCATGACATAATCTCTCTCTTTAATTCCTCACCTGGGAATGAGTTTGAGGGGCCCACAGAAATGGAGACAGCACTTGGGGCTGTGACCAAGAGCTTCAGCTGTGACTCTGTGTAAACCAGGAGCACAACACAAGTGGCTGACACAGGCGTGTAGCACCAAGGGACAGTTTGATTTGTTCTTYGAGGTTTACAGAAGTCTCTAAGCAGCTTCCAGCATTTTCATTTCTCTTCTCTCAGCCTGCCTCCTGGATCCTACCCTGCTGCATCAGAGCTACYCTACAGAGACACAGTATGTTCTTTTAAGACAGTATTAACAGCAGCTGGTTCCCTTCTTTCATTGCAGACACTTCACGTTGACAAAGTTGAAAATGTGCATTCARGATTCCAGGCTCTGATGACGGATATAAACAGAAGCGATGCTCCCTATCTGTTGCGGCTCGCCAGTCGGCTCTTYGGAGAGCAGTCCTACAGCTTTCTGCCGGTACAGTGGGGCACACCAGGATGGCGTGTGGTGGGACCTGGGCAGGAAATGCAGCTGTTTGGGTATTTATGATGTAGAACTATTTCCAGGAATGTTTCTAAACATTACTGGGCAGTTGACAAAGGTATTACATACTTGCCATGTGCATTTCCATAGCTGTGGGCATCTATGCATCTCATACAGCAAACCCTTTTCTTTKCTTGTCCACTTCTGATGTTTTTGGGCTCAAGAGAAGAATTCTTCATCTATGTTCTTAAATTACAGCCTATCATAGCTATCATGACATTCCACTCTGTTGCAGCCAGCTTTTCAAGTTGCAGCCAGTGCTGTTCCTGTTGCAATCAGCTTTTCAGGAGTTTCATCGGAGTAGKACCACATTACTGAAATGGTTTTGAAAACACATTTTATTTATTGGGGAGGCAGAATATGCAATACGTTTTAACAACATGCCTCTTCACCAGTGTGCACCTAGGTTGATAGTTTTGTCTGTCTTCAGCTATTTTGGGGAGTTTTGTTTTATCCTAGCTGAGCCTGTTTCAAGAGAACAATAGGCAAATATTGCAACCCCTGCAGTACGCACCTCACCAGCTGCAGACATGGCTGGTGTACTATGAGGCCTCTAAGAGTGGGGAAAAAACCTGCCAACCTCAGATTGCCCTCAGGCAATACAGTGTTAGAGCCCCACCTCAGGGCAGGTGACGATCTGAGTGCACCTTAYCTACCTGTTCATTAGATGTTTTCTTATCTGCATGCACTGAAAGCTGTTCTTATCATTCCAAAATCTAGGATTTCCTGACTAATACACGGAAATTATATGGARCTGATTTGGCTACAGTTGATTTTCTTCAGGCTTATGATAAAGCCAGGAAAGAAATTAACCAGTGGGTTGAGGATAAAACTGAAGGTAAACTACTTTTTTTGCATTAAACACTGATGGTGTTTCATATCCTGGGAGCAGRAATGGACCTTATTCTCTGCTGTCTTTATGACAGTTTAATTCTGCCCTGGGCTGTTCATTTGWTGCATAGACAGAGCCTGAAATTATSCAAGCAAGGTATTTAAACAATTCCATAAGTCCCGAGAATTTTCGATTTTGTTTTTGTGTTCAGGCTATGAGTGCAGGAGAGATGCCTAAACATGKAGTTGTACCCATGAGTTCGAGAATTTGTTTTAGTCAGTCCTGGTCCATATTGTATATATATTTCTAAATTCAGTATTTCTTAATATGGGTGTTCTCTAGTTCTTGTACGATGAGTATGATCATTCACGTGTGACAGTTCAAAGTAAYAATATTACATTTTCATCAAATCACTGTATCAAAAGTTATAGCAATAGTGTGTACTCTTAAAAAGTATGGTGGAGAGACAGGCACTGAAATAAATGTTATTACAGGAACAGATTAGTTTTATATTTGTAGGATTTCCATGGCATCAGTTTCTCTGTGCATGTTTTATGTGCCATCAACTTCTACAAGGTTTTGTCTTGACTGTTCTTTTCTGCTGCCCCTGAAGGCAAAATCCCTGATCTGCTGCCTGATGGCTCAGTTAACAGCATGACCAAGCTGGTACTGGTGAATGCTATTTATTTCAAAGCAAACTGGGCAGAGAAATTTCAAGAAGCTGACACCACTGATGCACCATTTCGGTTAAATAAGGTAATACAGATGTGTCTGCCTAGGATATATGTAATGGAGGGGTCAAATAATATAGGTCTTAAAGCGAAGCTTTGCTTGCAGGCAAAATAATTATGAAATATGAAGTAATTGATAAATATTTTAAATTTTTATGGATTTTGCTATTTTTTCTGTATTCAGCAAGCTATTTGTTATCTCACTTATTGGAATAGTATCAGAGACAGTTATCACTGATGCATTAGGGCTTAGTAGAGTTTGTCTGCTGCCGACCAGCAGTTATGAGCTGTGTCTGTTTGTGATTCTAGGTAAGCAGTATTAAATTGGCAGGACATTTTGATTAAGCCCYATCTTCTTGTTCTCTATTCTGCTTATGTTAACAGTTTACAAATTATTGTGTGCAGTCTTCTGCTTYGTGCTAAACAGAGTTGATCTTTGTTAACATGGTCACTTTTGGGTCTAGAACAATATGAAGGTATAGCAATTCAAAGAATTTTTTTCAGTTTCTGTGAGGACTGAGTACCAAATATAATCCAAATTCATTATTTCTTCAGATGAAACTGTTAYTAAATAGGCAGTCAGGAGCCTGACAAAGGCATTTTTATAATCATCTGATATAATGGAGGGAAAGTATTTGTAAAAATGCAGTTTTAACTTACTTGTTTCCTGTCWGYTTTTCAAATGAGCATKTCCTTAACTGTTACTTCTGGTGCTTTTAATCGATCCAGAATGAAAGAAAGACAGTGAAAATGATGTATCAGAAAAATAAATTTAATTTTGGATACATCCCCGAAGAGAAGCTCCGTGTTTTAGAGCTGCCTTATGACGGAAGAGAACTCAGTATGATCATYCTATTACCTGATGACATTGAAGACGACTCCACTGGACTGCAGAAGGTGACCCATCTAAGCTGATGCTGTTTTTAAATGTTTTTAAGTTCAGCCATTTCCCACTAAAGCCTTAATGAGCCCATGCTTTCAGAGCACCATGTCTATCAAGTGTGTTTTTGGACAACTCTCTAYTCTCAGCAATAAAGAATAAATGGATGTGCTGCATCAGGAAGAGAAGCCGCATTCTGATTTTGTAGCTTGTATGCTCTGGCTTGCTGAACTAAGCCAGGATGGAGACTGAAAACAGAGTTAACTGTTAGAATTAACTTGCTTTGTTTGTTTGTTTTTTATGATCAAACTCATCTTTCAGTAGCTTTGAAAGTGTTTATTTACTTAACCATGAAGTAGTGAAACTATTTTCCATTAAATGACCAGCTTCTYTGAGCCCTCTGATAATGATTTTTGYTACTTGTTTTTAATTAGGTAATTCCATTTAAATTGATTAACAGCAAGAAGACTGGATTGCTATCAGTGCATGTTTTTCCCTTTAGTAAATTGCAGCAAGAAGCAAAAGTCTGCATTAATTTGTGAAGTAAAAACTGCACTGACTTCACTTAATTTTAATAGTGTTTGTTTGATTTCTATGTAGCTATCAAAGTTATGGGTATGCTCATTTTTGTATAGCTGCTTTATCACTGTATAATGTTCTGTAAATAAAGCCTCATAAATGTTACTGAAATACTACACTGGTGACAAATAATGATCTCTGTCKTTTTAATTCTAGGTGGAAAAGCAGCTTACCTTAGAGAAACTGCAGGCATGGACACGTCCAGAGCACCTGTATTCCGCTGATGTCCATGTGCGTTTGCCAAAGTTCAAGCTGGAAGAAAGCTATGACCTTAAATCAGATTTATCTGCTATGGGCTTGTTGGATGTGTTTGACAGTGGCAAGGCAGACTTGTCAGGAATGTCAGGAGCACGTGACCTCTTCCTCTCTGAAGTTGTCCACAAGGCTTTTGTGGAAGTGAACGAGGAAGGCACRGAAGCTGCAGCTGCCACTGCGGGCATTGCCATGCTCTGCATGGCCATAGTAGAGGATTTCAACGCTGACCATCCTTTCCTTTTCTTTATTCGCCACAACCCAACACAAAGCATACTTTTCTTGGGCAGATATGCTTCCCCATAAAAGAAAACTCAGCATTTGCAGCAGTTCCTGCTGTTGTTAGTGAAAGCTTTGTTCCTGAATAAATTAATTTTCCTRTTGTAAATTCCTAGTAATTTGACTGAGATTCTGCCTTTCCCATTAAAACAACCACTAAGAAACCAAGGAGTAATTTTTTTTTCTTTCTTGAGACTGAGATAATCTTCAATTAAACAAGGAAAATTTTGACTGTAGGCAGAAGAAATCTTTTGAAATTGGAGTAAAAATAGAAATACTCTTGGAAGAAATGCATATCTCTTAAAGCATAGGATCATCCTTATGCATTGTCACATAGGTTTTTCTGTGTAAACAGCCCCCCATTGTAATAACTAGTCACTCTTTAATAATCAAATCACTCCTTATGCATATGCACTAGGTTGTTCTTGCAAAGCTCTTGCTCCCCTAAAATTTTGCTTTACAAAAGTGCTGTAAGAGAGTCATTCTAGGCACCAAAAGCATGTCTTGAACAGCTGAGTTTACCCAGTTCTGTCATGAAACAGAAGGTCAGATAACATTTGTTTAGAGACATCTATTAATAGAGAAAGGATTAAGCTATTTAAACAAAAGTAACCCCTTGCAGTCATTAGTCAGAAAAATTGCAACACACCTTTTGAATGAGAAGGAGAAAAAAATGAGTAACAATTTTAGGTGATATGTTTAAAGATATTTAAAATTTATGGACTGGTGCTATTTTAGTTATTGAAAAGATGAAAATGTTTCAGGGATTAGAGGTTTTAGGTGCCTTTTTGAAAGTTCAGAAGCTGTCAGTATGACATTAGCTTCTGGCCAGAACCTGTGTCACTCCCAAAAGACACTTCAGCTTCCCAGAGGATGACTGGGTGTAATCTGCAAGAAATATCTGATGTTTCTCTTTATGTACAAGGATTCTGCATTTACTGAGCTGGCTTCCACTACCTCTTTTTTCACAAACCTCTGGTACTGTACCACAGCCTTATTCCTGAGAGCCAATGTACATACTTCTGTGATCTGTGGTTATTTTTGGAGTTTATTTTCTGGTATCATGAGTACTGTAAACTTTACCTGTACAWCCTCAGCTCTAAATGGGGCACAATAATTTTTATCATTACAAACTGTATTTTAACCTTGTCTTTAAGCAACAAATAAAAGCAGTTTTCTCAAACTTTTTTTAAAATCGTATTTTTTTGCATGCAATTTAATATTTCAGAGAGCCAAAATAACAGTCTGAAGACTGGCTCCAAAGAAGACCACTGGCRCAGCAGGTTCAACCAGCTGTTCTGAAGTTGTTCAGAGTAGGTGAAAATACTGGAGACCAAATTACTCAATAGAAGAGATGATGCCATGAACCAGCAGCTTTCTCTAGAAGTGTGAACCAAGCTGCTCGCCCCCRCAGGGAACAGGGGCAGTCACGGTTTTATGAAATGGCACAAGCTCTTGGTCTGCAAAACCCGGTTACGAAGGCTCAGGTGGGTTTGCAAAGGAGAGCGTGAATTGCAGCCTGCRGATGTGAACGCAATCCCTTCTGCACTGAGTGCTTCAAAAACCCAATGCCTTGCAAACCAAAAGTACTGGAACAAAACCCMTGCAAAAATTTGGTACACTCTGATGTTGTGTCAGTTCTATGTTGCTGGGCCTTGTCTTCAGCATTTTAGCAATAAAAGCTGCTGCTGCCACAGACAGCATTTGCCAAAGCAAAGCTCAAAAACTATTTTAATTACAKCCTTATCTTTATTTGCATAAACTCAGTCAATGCATGTAAGATACATGACTGAAGGCTTTTAGAGCATCAATTGCCAGGACATCAGAAGAAAGATAATAAARCCTTGCGTAATTGTACATACCAGCGTAGTTTTATGAGGAGACTGATGTCTGCATTTATTGTGGTTTTATCAGCATTCAATAACTGAACTATTATATTGAGACAAGGCTGGTTTCCTACAGACAGGATGCACAGARCAGAATCTCAGCAATAAAAATCTCAATAAAATCAGCTTCACATTCRACCATTTTAAAAAACCCAGCAAGCCTACTGGCCAATATCCCCATCCCATAACTCATGCCCCATGATAAGATGGTCATGTTTTTCCTTAACACTACTTGTTTTTTTCCTATGCTCTTGTCAGACCAAATGACGGACAAGGGCTGACTTCAACAGAGAAAAATGGCATGCCATCTGTACTCACATTTCTAAAAATGCTATATGCTGCTTCAACTACCTCTTGAGAGGGATTCTCTTTGTAGAACTACTGAATGAACACAGGCCTCACTGAGTTCAAAGCATGGCAGTTTTGAGCACGAGATGCTTTAACTGAGGAAAAAGGTAAAAAATGTGATTTTAATGAGTTAAAGACAATATGCAAAATGAGTCTGTCACATAAGAAGTCTCARTATAAAATCAGCTTAGCCTTAGTCTTAGATAAGTAGCAGTCATAAATCCACACCCACAGCATAAAAAATACTTCATACAAAATATTTGGTTTATATTAACCTTGAGGAATGCAACATTAAGAAGTCAGCCTGACTGCAGTTAAACTTCCTAGGAGGGAAATGCTAAGTTCTTAAACACCTTGAGTGTTTGAGTGCCCTCTTCAAAAACCAATTTGCAACAGGCTGCTGGTTTGAGAAGACAATTTGTGGATTTCTTCCAGTGGAATAGGGATTACAGCAGCTGGATTTCCCCCTACCATTCTAGCATCTCCTGAACAGACCAGGTTTAATAACGAGACAAAACTCTGAGAAACATTTACTCAATGTGCTGTGATGAGTAATCTAGACTTTGTACTGCTGCTAGTAGATTTCTTAGGAGAGCCCTTTGATTTTGGTAATTTAAACAGAAAAACCACCACCACCCACCACCGTCTGCTTTTTGTGATTCATGCAGTTGATATTGTCCATTTTAGGAAGCACAGTGTGGGTAAGGAGGACAATTCTCTCTGGGTTTTATGTCACTTTATACTAGAGATAAACTTACACAGATGAGTTGACTCTGAGCATGTTTAGTCATACTTTTGCTGTGAAATGTTTGGATGTGTCTATATATGATCAAAATCCTCGTAAAATACATAAAGCTGATCAAGTCTTAGAGATGAATGTTTGTTTTGACTTATTGTTTATTACAGAAATAAGACCAGTCCAGCTCTCCTGCACCTATTGAGGTAAAAAGGTACCATTTAAATCAGAACCTTCCTTTTGGTCTGGGTTTTTTTTTTTTTTTTTTTTTTATTTTACTGTAGTGAGCTGCTAGTTCTGTGACATTATCTTGTACCATCTGAATTCATGTTGTTAGAAGGTATTCATTAGGAGTCCTACACAATCCCAGACTACTTAGTAACAATGAGAGACAAAAACCACAGCCAAAATCCTGGAGAGYGCAGCCTGTCTATAAAACATGCTGAACATGTGGAGTGGCTGCAGGCAATTCAGATAATGAATTCATCACAGCAGCCAGAAAATGCATCTTCAGTATAGACTGGAATTCAAACAATCAGCTTATATAAACACTTGTATTTTTAAGTAATTTCATGGAAAATGCGCGGTAGTCATTTTGGCCAAGAGCTTTGCTCTCAACACAAGAGAAAATGTTCACAGAAAAGGGGGAAAATTGCAGCCCAGAGGTTGAACTAAGGGTTTAAATTCCCTGTGCATGGAAAATAGGACAAGAAAAATAAAATACAAGCAATGATTTCWCATAAATATYTAGTACAAAAGCCCAGACAACTCCTTGCCAGCTGTATAGTCCGAAYTTTTATCTGTGAGAATCAAACAAGCTGAATGATGGAAACAATATTCATTAGGTAATTTTCTAAAATAATCYCTGCAATTTGGGGCATTGCTTAATTGGTATTTCTGTTGTGGCTATCCATATCGTTGGCATGGGCATTTTACTACTGGGAGAAACAACTTAGATGAGTACAATTTATTTCTCAAGGTATTGAATTCCCCAACATGGAATGGCACGGCCTGGCCTTTCTCATGACCTGCATTATTTCTTAGTGGGACAACTTACGGCAGAGAAAAAGAGATCACGGCACGGTGGATTTTGATGGCATTCCTTACAGCAGAAGTAACTGTTACCTCCAAATCTCACCCCAAATTTTCTAGTGACACTGCAGTATTTGTCATTTCCTTAAAGCTCTACACTCTGAAGGTAAATAAATATACCACTATACCAGCATGCAACTCATAACYATTTTAGCCCTCCAGTGAACTTCTCAGGGTACACTCCAGGTAGTCAAAAGCCAGAAAACAAAGCAATGTGCTTTTTGATTTTTAATTTCATTTCTTCATCTTGTGCTTTTGATGCAGTCTTACTAGAAGATTGGTTTCTGCTTGCTGAAAGCAGCATTTCCAATCCTGTGTGGAAACTGCACACATTGTCCTGAGAAGAAATAAATGTTTTTGCCTTGGGCCTGTTTTGGAGGGATGTGAGATGGCACGGGGTGAAAAGTCCATCTGTGAGTGCATCTGRTCATGATGGACTTTTTAATGGAGCATGGAGTTCTCAGACAGCAGCAGCAGAGAGGGAGCAGGAAGCAACCACTCTGTTTCCAGTGCTGCTAGTAACCAGAGGCAGGAAGGGAAAAGGTAAATAATACTTTGGAGAGCAGCCACGAGGCACAATGGCTTTGAAACATTAACATTTTGCTGCCAATATTTAGATAATGGGCCCATTAGAAAGCACTGTCTGATGGATTCAACCTGAGGGGCACCATCTCTTTGCCTCCCTGGGAGGCTGAGGAATGAAAAAACCTTTGCTGCCCTCTGAAGGTGAGCACKTGCTGCTCAGATTTACTTCAGCACTGGAAGAGACCACATCTTGCCTTATTCCTCCAAATGCATTTCAGAGAACCMTCAGGAAAAAAATACTTATATGATTACCCCCTTAATTCATGCAACAAGAAAGTTYCAACCAAACAACAACAACAAAGTGAATTGTGTTAAAAAGTATGCAAATTTACACAATTAACTTTGTTGAAATACTTGTCTTTAGAACAACACTTTCCTCAAAGCATTCAAAAGCTATACATATTTGAGGAAGGAGAACATAGAAATGTTTAAAAAATATGACTCAAATCCTCTAACAGTACYCCGTTAGGCAAAAGGTTCAATTTCTGAAACATTTCAGTTACACCATGATCTTTGGCTTGAGTCCTACATCATGCAGAACTTCATATGAAGGGAGCCTCACAACAAAACTAATCTCCAACACAAATCTCAAAGTTTTGGAGGTTGTGTATCCAAAACTTTTGATCAAGGCCAATGGTCAGCAATCTGTCTTGAAAATTAAGCGCAATAAGCTGAATGAAGTTGGCTTCTGGACTTGGCACTGCATCCTCAGCCCACAGACCTCCTGAATTGCSAATGTTGCTCTGAATGAACTCCAGATGTGTGGCTGCAGCAATCCCTCAGATCTAAGCCCTGCACAGCACTAAATACCTCTGCTGTCAAAAAATACCWGCCTGCAATTTGTGTGTTCCAGACAGCTGACCTGCAGGTGGCTGGATCCCATCACAGCTGGAGACAGGCGCAAAGAACTCGGTATTGCTCCAATGGCCATTTTCATGACTRTTCTTACAAAATGGATTAAACCTGCTCTGAAAGGTAGGGATAATGAAATTAAAGGGATATCAAACTTTCAAAACCACACTGCTGTCATAGGAGTATTTAAACAAATGCATAGACACTTCTTTTAACAGCTTTATTGGCTTAATAACTGTTGTAAAAAATTGGTCTCTGGAACATCATAAGAACAAAAATTTTTCTGCAATAATATTTTGTTTACAGTATTTTAACAGAGGGGTTACAATTTACTATTTTTCTGGAAAATAACATTATCAAAATCTGAAATAAACACTGATTTTAAAAAGCAGCACAATAATATTTCTTGTCTCACAGGAAGAGACAGAAATAAAAGTCTCTTGTTTTTTCTCTGTTTCATGTGAATCAGTAACAACATTATATGGATGAAGCTTACTTTTGCATTTAACACTGCCTAACAGCAATTCTTTACAAAATACCTTCAGAAAAACAGCAGYTAAACCAGAAGGATAAAAAAAGTATCTGGAAGGCTTGGTGGCTTAATCCTTTCAGCCACAGTAACAAACTGTAAGGGGAATCTTTATCCCAGCAGAAATGTACGAGTCATAAAATCAACACCCATTCCAAGCAAGTCAGTCATATTTCTCGTTCCTTGAAGAAGTCTGCTCCTTTCAGCTCYTCTGGTAGATAGTCCTGCTGCACAGGTTCCTTGTACATGGGGTTGTATTTGTAGCCTTTTCCATAGCCCAAGTTCTTCATGAGCCTTGTTGGGGCGTTTCTCAGGTGTAATGGAACAGGTGGCAGCGGTCCCGTGTGCATCCTCAGGCATTCCTTGACGTTGCCATATGCCCGGTACACCTCTATAGATTTGGGGGCTCTGGCAAAGTACACTACACACTGTGCTAGAATCACCTGCAAGCAAGCAGAGGGAAAATGTTAAATTACTTCTTTTAAGCTGTTTGGGAAAAGGTCYGTTAGGCTGTTCGTACAGCATGGCAGGGATGATGTTTTTAAACTGACCTCTGCCTGCTACTACAATATGAATACTGTTATGTAACAACACCACAGCTTTATAATTTTCACTACTTAAAAATAATAGCGACTTTATTTATAATAGAAAAAAATGGACAGAAAAATGATATATGTTCACATATCACATTTTTAACACTAAATACACAGTGACCTCTATTTTAAACTATTACATCTATTTTAAGAGCTATGATGGTATCTTTTCAAAGAAGAGGCATGCAGAATGAGCAAGAAACTAAGCTTGCCTTGTCCTCCTAGTCTGTTTCTTTTTATAGTTACAGATAGGTTTTACAGATTGCAGGACTTTCAMATCAGTGAATTAATGAAGCCTTTACCTCACATTCTGGCATTCCAATGAAGTGACAGCCTTGATAAGCAGCAACTGCTTGTGTTAAAGCCAGAGGATCTGCCAGTCCTACAGAAAGGGATCAAATAAAAGCAGGTTAAAGTCAATTTACTTAATGTCTCTTTTGTTGTTTTTTTTTTTTGTTTGTTTGTTCTAAAAWTTTTATTTTTTCCTCTTCTGTAAGGTATCCATGCACATTTCAGAGTTGCTTTCTCAGATATAGGAATTTCTGGTACAACACCATACCATACACAAGACACACTCCTTCCATCCATAAGCCTTCCTTCTTCTGTACCCYTCCTCCTCAGAAAAAAAATAAAAGGTCTAAGTCATGGGTATGATTTATAGACTGAATCTGCTGCCACACAGTGGCAGCCTGAGCAGTAGCTGACCACATACAGTTCTACTTTGTGAAATTGATAAAGAAATGGAGAAATATTGCTATACAGACACAGCTTTCTCACCTTAACTCTTAACTCTTCACYCATCACATATGTGCTAAAAGTGTTGCTGGATCTGTTATGCTGGGTAAGTCAATCAAGATGCCTTACAACTAGGGAGCCAGCTATCAAACCTGAAGTTTGCAGGTCAGAGCAGGCATTCACGTGCCAGACTCATTAGAAAATCAGGCATCCCTGAAATACACACTCTAGCACAAGTACACTGCTGACCTAAAACCAGCAGGGTCGAAAAGAATCCATATTATTACACACCAAACCTGACCTCAAAAACATYTGTCTCTCCTGCAACAGGTAATCATCACAATGACACCTCTGCCTGCATATACTGTTTTTGTTGCAAGTGGAGCATTTAATTTTGTACCTATTTTGCATATAACTGTTTTGGTTTGGTTTTTTTCCAACTTTTACAAACCAGAGAAACGTGGCAGATCTGCATTCAACATAATATTCCAATATGACACACTGTGAATACTGACCTATATCTTCACTTGCAAAYCTCACCAGCCTCCTGGCCACATAGAGTGGATCCTCACCGCCCTCAAGCATTCGAGCAAGCCAGTAAAGGGAGGCGTTTTCATCTGAGCCTCTCATAGACTTGTGCAGGGCAGAGATGCAGTTGTAATGTTCTTCTCCTATTTAGGATGGGGGAAAAATGATACATAAAGCTATTAGAAGGAAATGAAGTGAAATGCATTTAAGGGAAAAGAATGTATTTTACTAGATCACATCAGCAAACACAAGCTGCTTTTTCAAGTTCTTTTTACGCATATGTGGTTACAGAGTTTCTTAATGCTTTCAGTGCTTCATGGTTTCCCATGTGAGTCATTCCACAACATAAGCAAAACAGAGCAACTGTGGATAAAAAGGAAGTTGTTTCTTTTTTTTTTTTTAAATATTGCAAGGCAAACAATTTGAGTTTTGTACCCTAACAGACTTTGCTTCAAAAGAAAAAACTCAACCAGATATTTTAAGCACTTAGGAAGAAAGCTCTACATAAATAGCTCCTAATTGCCAAAGAGTAAAGTATCAGTACATACAAACTGCTGACCAATGCTTTTGGACATACACAGAGCTCTGAGAGCACAGCACAAGAATCAGAGAAATCCAGTGCTACACCTTGGTSATATTTTACAAACAATTAACTTCACATCATCTAACACTTGAGAATAAGACGTACAGTAAAACACGAGTTTGATGTGTTAAATATGGGTGAGAAAAAAGGGAATGCTGTGGCTATACAGTGACAGAACATGACACAATTGGGAGAAAACAGAATTGCAGCRCACAACCCTGGCAAATCCCTAAGAAATGCTGAGTTCAATTGTGGACACGGCACTACTGCAACAATACATGAAATGCTAGACTGCTAAATAATAAGTGGGAAGACTGAAAAGTTTAATATATTATTAGATATGGACTCCAAAGAGAAACAAAACTATTCCACATATCTTCTACAGCTACACTTAAAAATAGGGGGTCAGTATTACAAACACTGTGTAATTGAGACCCTTCCTGCTTACAATTTTCCTCTGTGCAGCTGGTTTTGATTCTTCTGCATATCTTTTAATCAAACTTGTAAGAGTATTTTGCTGCAATMTTGTTGTTAAACTTTCCATGTAACCTGCCTTTTTTATTTTTTCAAGTGCCTGGCATTCCTTGGCTCACCGCTAAGTATGTATTATAAAGGCAACTGGCTGCATGCACAACCATCTGTTAATATTCCTCTTYTTCCTAAGGCTAAAAGGATTTACAGCCTGAGGGCCATATCAGAACACATCAGTCACTTGCAGGCCCTGAAAAATAAAAGGGCTGCATGAATTTAAAAACCAAAACTGCCATGCTGCTGCATTTGCTCCTTTCGTAGCCAGCAAGATCTCCACCTCCCAGGTCCATTCCCTGCATCTCTGCTCTTGCTGGAGTGTGATTCCATGGGGAATTCAACACGCTGCCGGCAGCACAGGCTGTCAGACAGCTATTTTTGCTAGGACTCCACACAAAGAGCCCTGGTATGCAGCCCTTACCTCGAGCCAACACAAACAGCATGTCCGTGCTCCATCCTAACACTTGAGTCAGTAGCAATAAACCCAAGCAGCTGAACTCGCATCATTCTCTTGCAAGGGGCGTCTCTTGGTCTCTTAAAAGTAAGGGAGATGGCCTTTAAATATCTCCAGAGGTTGCAATTACCCAGATATTTTTGCTGGAGTGCTTTCATATGCTGTTTGAGCTACTGTAACTTGGGGATACCAGCTGGAGAGGCAGATGAAATCCAGAGGATAGCATGGGTCCAGATGGATCTACTGGCAGGGAATTTCAGACTTCAGGCTGAGAAAGGGCTTAGTTTTCTCCATTTACTTCATTCCTTACAAAATTCATGGTGGTGACAGAGCCACAATGACAGTACTTATACWTCAGACTTGCAGTTTTCAATTAAAAGCAAAATACAGTGGTGTGCATTGGAGAGATAGCTTACATTTTTCTCTAAAATACACAGTTTATAGATAGCCTGAGATACAGAAGCAGTTTCAAAAAAGGAATTGTAACTTTTAGTTGAACTTCTTTTATTAGCTTCCTTAGGCTGCTTAGCCAACATACAGATTTTGGCCTCATCAATTCAGTCGAGAGACAGAAACAAACCAACTTATCCAGTTCTGCATCCCAGATGCCTCTCAAAATCAAAACTAAAAAGAATTTTTGGAACCAAAATATATTTGCTCTRTGCAGTTCCCACAAAGGCAAATACCTTTCTGAAACAAGATATTACACAAGAGGCTTTGTGAAGGAGAGGGTTTTTTAGTCTCTAACAYAGAGATGCATAAATCTTGTTGATACATTCCCATAAATTAATTTATCTGGTCATGAGGAGTTTTCAGGCTAGTTTAAGATTCTGATTTATCTAAAGTTGTGTTGGTAGACGGTAGGGAACAGGTCTCATTCATAGAGCACAATTAATATTTGGGCTTCTGAAAAAATCCCTCTTCACAAAGTAGYTGGCAAAAGTAAAATCAGTCCCCAACTCAAATTATCTTCTATCTTTGCCAAAGGTGAACATCAATTGCTCATCAGAAAAGGACAGAAAAAAGCCTTGGAAGACTAGAGCAACAGCATGGATAAAAAGATTTCTCCTTCTGATCCAGCAGAAAAAAAAAAAACTGAGCTGGAAAAAACATCATGGTGTGATGGCTGCTGTTTCACACCAGCTGGGAATTCAGCTCCAAATAAGCCAMTCCCCTACCGCAGCAATGATGTGCATGGTTATGGAACAGCAACTTAGCCCTGTCCACATGGCTCTGAGCTCTGTCTTAGAGCAAACCCTGAACAGTTAGACACCTTCTCTTTTCTTCTCCAGAGAAGGRAAAGGGAAAACTGTGTTCCAAATTGCAGAATAAATCAATTTCAGCATAGCACATTCCCAGTTTTTACCATAGCTGAAGTTATGTTACCACACAGACAATGAAATTACTGACATTCATCTTACTTAATCAGTGTTAGCAGAGGGATACAATATGTAAAATGAAGGGGAGGCAAYAGAACTCTATCTAAAAAATCTAGTCACTGCTCATCTGCAGGTAAACTTTAATTAGTTTGGTTACTGCATCATTTTCTCCAAGAATCAAAATTTTAACAACTGCAATTGAAAGCTAAAACATGACTAGTTAGTTTCCTCTCCCACTGAAARGGCTACAGGTGGCCGCTGGCAGAGAATTGAATAAAGTTCTTTCTTTGTYGTTCCAGCTAAAATGCATCAACTATCTGAACTAACTAACTAAAGACCTTTTCTTTACATGCGCTGCACATAGATTAGAACAACAGCCTAACAACTGGTTGATGAAAATTTTTTTTCCTAGATTACTTGATGAAAGTACAGAAGAGAATGCCCAACTACACCTATTTGGCAAGTTTTGCAGARGGGAACAAAAAAWTATGKAAAATAAAAATTTGATATTTACACAACTCTGAACACTAATCTATTATTTGGTGCTTTCTACATGAACATGCTACACTCAAATACATGTTGCTACCATCATGATTAGACCCYCTGCTTTATAAGGCTGAAGCATTTTATTTTAGAGGATTGTAGATCCCGCCACCACAGCTGTGATTCAAAATGTAYTAGCTAGAACATGATACCAAAAACCCCTCATCTTTGTTTATACAGTAGTTCGTATCTGGAAGTCGTTCGTATTTAAAAGGACAAACGGCTATGGACCTCTGCTATGGACAAAAGTGGTCAACCAGGAATCAACAGTCAGTGGTCAACACAGACTGTTATACAGAAGAGAGAAATTCTGTAAAGGCATGTACTTGGGCAACCTGCTACTGTAACACTATCTGGGTCAGGCTTTTTGGTATTTATACCATCTAGAAAAACAGAATTTTCACTGSTCTCCCCACTCTAAAATCTCTGACCAAAAAACCTCATAACAACCCACAACAAGGATTCCTGCAACAGGGCCTGACACATGTCACCCAGACTTGATGCAAGCCCCAGGAAGAGGCACTCTGTGCCATCTCTACCAGAGCRAGAAGGTGTACGAGGGCTGGAAGCAATGAACACAGCCAAGAGTTCTGTGTGACAGCGGCCACAAGGCGACAGCAAACACACGAGGGACCTACACAGTGCAAGAGACTCGCATCAGTGAACCGGTCAGATTTTCCGCTTCCTTCTAACCATGACCTCTTCCTGCCACASAACCCATAAAATTTTTCTCCCTCCCCCTGCCTACCCTTGACTTCTCAGCTGCTATTAGATCAGTATCTTCCCAGCTGCCTTTTTCCTGACAGTGAGTCATCATTACTTCTTTGTAGCAMGAAGGCTGCAAGTGGGCATATGTTTACAACCAACTTGAAGAAATCCGTCATCACAGGTTTTGAACAAGGGCAGTTAATGGAGCATATCAGAAACAGTGGCCAAAGAAACAACAAAAAATCAGCTCTCCAAATACCGCTTGGCATAACAATTTCATACTCTTCTGCACAGTCATTTAAGTATTGCTGAAGAACTGTCATATGCATTCATGAGGATTCACCTAATCTCTGATGATCACTGATTTTTAACCCTCTAACATAAAATGGTTTAGTGGCCAACTACTGTGATAACTAAGAWTGCCAAGTCACAAATTTAGCAAGAGTGGTTATCACACTAAGAGGCCCTAAGTGCAATTAGATTTATGTGGCCTACCCTAAGCAAGCTACAGAATTCATTACCATAAAAAGCAACTCTAAAAATAAAGCAAACTGCTCAGGTTTTGACATAACATATTGCTGTGAATGTGAGCACTTCCAAGACTTTCAAAGAGTAGAACTGCAATGCAAGCTATCCAACCCCCCCAAAAAATGTCCTCATCAAATTCTTCTGCTCCTTTACATTGAAACCCTTATAGAAGACAGAATTGCAATTACCTTAAATAACAAATAATTTCACTATGCAACTGTTTTCAGGACAGCAAATAAGTCTTTCAGCTAAGCTACACTTCCCAGCTAAGAAGAAACAGTATTTAGAACAATTTCTGGCTGAACTACATGGTAGAGGAAAAGCAACTTTTAGGACAAACTCCAACCACTGTTTCAGTAGAGCAGCTGAAAGAGAAGTTAGAGAGGGGAAGAGGGAGAAGTTAGAGAAGCTACCACATCTTGAGAACATTCATCTCAAAAACTGCATCAGATACTCACTCACCTGCTCGGTCATACAGRATGTGAGATCGCTGAAGCCCCTCCTTTACATGCTTTTCTGTTACCAGGATGCCATCTGCAGATCCACCTTTGGTAGTGTTCAGAGGAGTGGTCTTCCCTGCTGCTACTCTGGCCTGAACTGCCAGCTGGAGTCCATTCAGCCCYGTCCTGGCGTCCCCGTCGCAAAGGTAGGCAAGCGTATTCAGAGCTTTCTCCTCAATGTACACTGGGAATCTGCATGGGAATAACCACACAACCTTAGCCCCAACACACTCCTCTCCTTGTGAATGATGCTAGAGATGCTGTTTCTTAACAAAGTTTCTTGATACACAGTTGGGTTGGTCTTGACTCATCCTAAAGAGCCAGAGGCTGACCTTCTTCCTCCTGCTCCAGTGCCTGTTAAATACAATTGAACATGAAAAATGTAGGGCAGGAACTCTCATCTATTTTAATAACCTAGTGACAACTAGGGTTAGGTTTTTGCAAAAGCCCAATACTGACACAGCCAGCTGAACTTTACAAGGTTTTACTACATCAGCATTTYACTGCTAGAACTTCAAATTCCTTACTGGAAGAATAATGAAAAGATAGGAAGCTATCCAATTCAGGTGAAAGAATATAGTGAGTTATAAATAATCAGCAAAAGGTTTTGAACTAACTATCAATAGCTGCTATCAACTGAAAACAACAGCTGAAAGGATCGTTTACATTGTAAAATGTATGTRTCCTACTCTTTTTTTAATATATTGTATTACAACTTAGTCACTGGGGTACAAAGGGTATCTTATTAGAAACAAATTGTATCCCTATACTTGCCCATCCTCTTGCCATCTACTGCTCTATGTGTGCCAGAACTATACAAACATATGAAAAAGGCCAGATACCAGCRAAAAGCAATCTAAATGAACAAACCACTGAGATTATCTCAGCTGGTTGGAGCATGGTGCTGATTACATCAAGGTTCTAGGTTTGATCCCTGTATGGGCCATTCACTTAATAGTTGGACTTGATGATCCTTGTGGGTCCTTTCCAGCTCAGAATATTCAGTGATTCTATGTAGATGGGAAGACCTCAGAAAAGCAGCAGCAGGATCTCCTGAGATCTTCTAGTGGGTCCATGAAAAATCTGTGAGAACAAAGTCTTCAAGTTTTGTTTCTAGGTTTTCACTTGCTGGGCTGCAGTACCCACTGTTGGGGCACATTCAAACCAATTCACCTCCACATGTTTCACAGGCACCCTGTTGAGGATTTAACTCTCAAACCTTAGTTATGTAGACAAAGTAACATCTAAGGTGTTGCCAGGCAGAGGGTATAACTGATCTGATTTGGGGACAGCAGYTAATGGAATTAAAACATGGCATTAAGTAATGCCTAACTGAGCCATTTCTAGTAGCTKGACTGTAAATCAAGAGTGACATGTATCAGCTGGGATTAGCACATAGAGCTCGGTGTGAGAGGCCATTTCTTATGAAGCTCTTGTGTGTCAAATAATTAAGGATTCACAACAGCCCTGCACTTCATTTACCAAAAKATATGCTGCTGCTGTTTCCAGTGGTGTACAAAAAGGCAGTGCCAGGGCTCCCAGAAAAACGTGTTCACTGATTTTCATTACTTGCCTTCTCTTCCTCCTTGCAAACCCACTCTGCACTTGTCACAAAAAAGAAAAGGACTGTTGGTCCAGGAAAAATTTGAACAGCTAACATTTGAGTCCTCTCATGGCCACACATAAAAAGGAAAAACTAGCAGAGCTGCAATCTTAATCAACCACTGCAAGTGAAAGCTGAYGAATGTCTTCTAGGGGCAAAACTCATACTGCAGAGAGTAGACAGTAGGAATCACACCCTGGGAAAAATAAATCTATATATACATGTATCTCATCGTGACTTTTTCCCATCTCCTTCTTTTTCATGTATTTGATGAATCTAAAGAAAAAAAGTTAACACACACATACCCACGGTGTTTCCAACCAGGGTGTTTCAAACATCATCTTCATATTTGAACAAGGAAGTAGAACAATACCGCAGCACAGGGACTTATTCCTATTCCTGTCTCAAGCATCAAACCCCTTGAAAATCAGAGAGCAATGTTCACCCCACAGCACTGCAGATGGACACCAGATTTTTCATAAGCAATTAAAAAAGCCAGCAAGAAAAGCAAAAGCTCTTTTTAAAAAATGAGCAGGCACTAYACACAGAAACCTGCTGCTAATATCTCCTTTAACAGGAACAACCCCAAATATAAGGMATGCTGAGCAAACACTTCTCATACACCAGCAGGGCATACTGAAGAGTTTTCACCTGCAAGGACTAAGCTCTTTGCCTGCTGTTCGCAAAGAACACCCTTGTGCTTGAGGCCTCCTCACACTGATACCACAACTGCAGGCAGTGACTCTAAGTGGAAAGGAAGCATTGAGAGCGCTAAAAGGCAGATGCTGCCATAGAAGAAGCTAAGTACAATCTGTCACAAAAAAAAAAAAAAAAATGAGACCCCAGAGTATTTTTGCCATTTACTTGCTAATTTAAAGCGGGGCAAGAAAACTCAGTCTGTACCTGTCTCTTCAGTTTCACTATGGGACTCAAAATAAGCAATTGAAAAAAGAAATTGAAACAAATATTCACAAGAAAGTATGAAAAATCTGGTTACAAGTAAAGGTCTTGTCCATTTCCACAGTGAAATTCCAGTTGCAATGTAATGGTAATGGCAATTCCAGTCCAAATAATGTATTATGTATTAGGCTGATCCAGTCCATGACTACAAGAGCATGACATGCAGGACATGATAAAGAATAAATGGAGAAAACTTCCACATACAAGCTGCTTGCACAGCTTATTGATGAGAATCACTGACTGGARATAATATAATGCTTCCCTGTTGCATAATCTCAGCTCCATGCACACTCARTATTTCAAAATAATGAAGTGTTAGACTAACTGAATTCAGGTTTTTTTTTCTGAGCAATTAAAATATTTTTCTAATGATTTAACTTCAGTAGACAGGAGTCTAATTTCACAATCAGGATGGCAATTATTTCAATACCTTGRCTTCCAAAAACCAGTTGCTGTGTTTTACATTTTTAAGCCCATCTTGTCTTCAGAAGCTCAAGTGCCCTACTCCCTTCCACTTTTTGCACCCATCAGAACTGCAAGGCAGAATAACTMCCATGCTTTCTGACTTCTTTCCAAGCTCCTGATCTTCTTGCAGATGGGCAAAGCCATATTTTATTCAACTTCCAAAATTAACACTGAACAGCCACTGGTTGCCAGTGGTCAACGTTGATACCTTGTAACTGATGATACTTGGAGACAAAAACATAAACAAGCCAAATGGGATGTGCTCGGATCCATCACTCACTAGGCTGAAGGTGATATACTAGCTCAAGGAATGGAAAACTACCACTATAGGATAATAAATCCTTCTTCCAGTTCCTCTTTATCTCCACACCCTTGAGACAGTTCGTGCCAACATGAAATGCATGTTGCTACYCCTTAAACCATACAACACTGCAGCATTTGATCCAATGACAAGAGAGTTCAAGCAAAATCAGGGAGTAAATATAAGGAAGCCCAAGCAAGGAGAAAGTGTATGATCAAAGACATAAAAAAACCTGAGCAAAACATAAGATAAAGTATTCACTGCTTCTTTCCCATATGAATGAGTACTTCTTAATTTCTCAGTGCAATTCTTCTCAGTACATTCAATCCTTGAAAGATTGCAACACTTTCAGCCAACCACAGTTCTTCAACTGAACTACTGCAGTGCGGCATGCACTGCTCACTGCCTTATAGCATTGTCTTCCAGTGTTCCCTTCCACCTCAACAACTCATTTCCTGCAAGGAAATTGAATGAATGTTCCAATTAAAGAGTAATTGTCAAAAAAGTATTGAACACTGAAGACCCAAATGAATTCCATCTTCAGTGTTGTGATTTATGAACCAGTGAATTCAAAACATGCCAGAATTTGTAATACAGCCAGTAACAAGCTGAAATGCATGATGTCTGGGCTTGCCAACAGGAAAATRGGGTTCCTTTAATTTCTCTCAACTGTGTACTTTCTGTGCTATGTAASTTCAAACACATTAATCAACTATCCAGTTTACAGTCTGACACTTCARTTAGAGATAACACTCAGAGGGCAGTACTAGAATGACAAAAATAAAAAGCCAAGAGAATAATCTGGTTTCTTCCACCACTGACACAGCATAAGTACAACGTATCAGTGCACACCTGGTACAGCTTGTGGTATTACTGACACAACATAAACTGCAGAAACCACAAGCAATTGCAGCAATAGAAACCATCTTTAACATTGACTTCTTACTTCTTATGTTTCTTTCTTTCTTGTTTCTCCATCTTTCAGCTTGATTTACTGCAGACTTGAGAGGCACAGTTTGATTGCAGTAATGCTGATAAAGATATAACAAAAAGCACATCTTATCCTAAAGAAGTCCAGYAATTAACATAAAAACTGTCAATGATATGAGCCATGACGACACAACAAAGAGAAAGATACCGAAGTAGGTAACACTCCCTGCTATATGCTTCAGGTTTAGAGCAAGAAAAGGCCATAGTGGAGTCAAAGAGGATCCAGGTGATCTAACCTTATCAGAAACCTGCAGCAATGGTAAAAGCAAGGTAAGAAAAAGCCAACAAGAAAATTTAAGGAAACAGATTCGGGTATAGCACACTTTCCTTGTGGAGTGCAGATGATGAAACCCATTGAATCACTCRGGGATGGCTGCATTCTTGCAGAACACAGAGGACATCTCGAAAGACTAGGGAAGATTCACCCTCACCTTATTCCTCAAGGTAATATGAGAGACCACAAAGAATCATCCTCTCCTTAAAAATCTCTTTTAGGTAAGCCATCCTGTCAGATAAGTGGTGTGATACCAAAACCATCTGATGAACTGAGGACAAACAGCATGTGCAGTACTACATACTACACTACTGTGTCTTGGAAAGGGAGACTCACATGGGAAACAAAACCCAAAATTCAATGTACTCATCTCTTGTATCTTCTTGCTAGATCTCTGCAGCATTTTTAAAGTGGGTATACCCCACTTTATTATTTATTATTTGGCGACATGCTGCCTTACAGCTCCTTTTCTCACTCTGGAATGAAGGTGAACACAGTTAACAACCAAAACAATTGCAATTGATKACCTTCATTATTCCTCAGGACAGCATGAGCAGTTACCTGCTTGCAACTAATGACAATCCTGCTTCACAGAGGCAAGGGAGTAAAAAGATGAGACAGATGCTCCTGCAGAACAGTRGAGAGGAAATAAAGATGCAGAAATGGTGTGGACACTGAAGCAAGAAGGAATTAATGAGGAAGCCAAAACCAGAACCACAATAAGGAACAGGATGGCTTACAAAAACATTAACTCATCCGCAGCAGAATGTAGGAACTGTGGCCCAGAACCAGATTGTGTCACAAAAGACAATAAAGACCTGACACACAACTGCAAGAAACCCTCCTCAATTCAAAACCCCATTTTAATTTTTAAATGCTTGGATCTCACAAATGCCTTTAGCGTGTGGCCCTCTCTCCCTCTGTAGAGAGTTCTGAAACTGTGCTAGCTCTGATTAACTGTGTTAGTCTGACAGTCTGCCTGCCAGACTTCTTTCAGTTTGATGAAGCACTACGCTGTTTAAATCATCCATAGCTATTGGAAGGTTACAGACATGGAGAGTCTAGCGAAACCCAAACCSAAACAACTGCAGCTGAAACTATGCCTTGTACTTTAATCCTGTACAGAAAGAAAGGTCTGTGAACCCCAGTCAGGGTGTAGCCACAACCACAGCTGTGCCATTGCATTAATGCTGACATGCAGTACTGCTGACCTGCAGTACTGCCTTTTCTTCTAAAATTCACATTACTACTACTACCCATAAAAGCTAAAAATGAGTAAACTATGAGGTAGGGTAACCTAAAAGTAAAAAAAGGAATACCTTTCCTTACCTGCCCTGATCTTAGCATTCAGGTTGGCAATTCTTTGTGCTTACATTCTGTGATAAAGTTCAAGTGGATTCCCTCCCATTTATTTCATACAGACTGTCAATCACCACCGTATCAATGCACTGTAAATTAGGAGTGCAGCCAAGAACCAACTTGAAGGAACTGTAATAGCTTGCTTGTGAGTACCACAGTACCAAGCATTACTCTTATTTGCCTGTCTYCTTGATAACATCTCTTGTAGACAAATCTGGATGTTGTTTTATCCAAAATTTACTCAAGTGTTTAATGTGAATTTATCTGTCTTGGACATCCAAGGAGCAGAGAAAAATAAAGTCACTCTTAAAACAACCTATTAACTCCTCTCCTCACAGGGTATCATAAAACATAGCACAGGGCTAATTCCACAACTTAAGAACAATAGCAGCACCRTCCTCCCTGATCTTATTAAAAATTATTTGCAGAAAACAACAGACTTCTGTCGAATTCCAAATTCCAAATTAAGAGAAGATACCCCATTTAACGGTAATACGATGCTTTTACAACCGGTAGCAAGAAGTGACACACATTAGGACATGACAAAGACCCAGCTACAGGCTTCCACAGCAAATCCTCAGCTGCAGAACAGATTTAAATATCCTGAGAGGGTGAGTCAGGAGCTACGGATCCAAGTATAAAATTCTCTCCTAATCCAGACGGTGAGATTATGTTTTGGATGGAGAGAGCCAATGCTTTGAATTCTCCCTCTCCTGTCACCCCCGCCCCTGCCATATGCTGCCACTTCTTTTCTTTACTATCAGAAGTGGCTAGGGTTTCTCTTCCCACCCCCCAACTGCTTCATTCTCTCCCTGGCAGGCAGTCAGCTCCTCGGGTTGTGCACGTTAACACCCTGCAGCCCATAAAGTACTCACTCCGAGCTCTTGCTGCTGCTGCTAGTTGCAGGGGCGCTGTGCTGGTCGCCCTGGCCYAAAACCTGGAGTCCTAAGGACCTGACGGCCCTCATCAGAATTGCCTCCATCGCTTCAACCGACAGCTTCTCCAGGACGATCACCCGGCACCGGCTCAGGAGAGCAGCATTGACTTGGAAGGAAGGGTTTTCTGTAGTTGCTCCKATCAGGGTCACCGTTCCACACTCGACGTGAGGAAGGAAAGTGTCCTGAGCATGGGAGGGAAGCAGAAAAAGCTGATCTCAATCAATGACAACCTGAAACATCCCATGTGAGTAGTCCACATTTTTTTGTGTCTTGTGCTATTGTGGGTTCTCTGTTGATATGACAAATAAACACACTGACAAGGCAGTTCATCTGCACAGATATGGGAATGATTTCATTTTATGCACCCAATACCTTAATAATAAATGGTTGCACTGAGAATGATCCTACCAGCTGAAAAGAAAGTGTAAAAAAATCTGCAAATCTTTAGTTTATTTGTGTGACTTTGGTTTATTGCCTGGCAACCTAAGAAATCATGAAATTGCCTTATCAAGTGTAACAAATAGTGAGACTACTCCTAAATACGCTTTGGGTCAACCTTTAGGGTTACAGTTCCCTACCAATTTCTATAGGATGGTTCAGAAAGCTACATGAAGATAATAGTACAGTCCAATTCAAAAACTGCAACCGGTAGTACAGAATTCAAGCTTTCCATGTCACAACTGAAAAAAACCTTATGTCTAGGAAAGGAAAAAGAAACCCAAACTGAACCAATGACTGCAGTGTTAACCTGAAGCACTATGCCATGACTTATTTTTACTCTCACAGAAGAAAGGACAACATTAGAATACATACCCACCTTTGGCACATTCACATTCCACACCTTTTTAAATATAATACAGAATGCTAACCCCCAGATGRAGGCTGAAACGAAGATATGTGTAGCCAACATTACCAACATGACTTTGCAGAAACAAAATTAATAAAATATCATATAAAGACTGGCATGTAAGTAAACTGTAACTCAGCCTTTTATTTAAATCTTTGAGTCACAATAACTAAATGTTGATTGGAAGCTAMGGAATTTAATTTTTAGGCTTCTCCCTAGTTCATCTACTAAACGAATTAACGCTGAAATCAAAAGCCCAGAGGATGGTATCACATTTAAGGCAAAGTGGGAGATTTTACAGAACTGCTGACAAAGGCTTTTTTAAAAAAGCAATGTAGTGCAATACCTGCTGAGATTTATTGAAACGGTGGATCTCATCAATAAAGAGGATCGTTTTTCTCTTGAAGAGTCTTTTTTCATTCTGGGCTTGGCTGATGACATCTCGAACATCATTTGTCTTGGCACTTGTGGCYGACAGTGTCACAAACCTCGTGCCATTCTTTTTGCTGCTCTTGGCTATGATGTGTGCCAATGTAGTCTGAAACAGCAACAGGAAAAATCTTTGTAAAAATCATTTTGGACACAGAAAGTACCAATTTGAAGGAAATATGTAAAGAACAAAGCTACACATTTTGGACATAGGGACAGTGTTGACAGTTTATAGAGTAAGGCATTTTAGCTCATGTTATTCTAGCACACAGAAGATTTAAAAACTTCCTGCTAGAGGTAGCTGCCAATTCCTCTGCTGCATTTCTAATGCCTGCACTTTTAGGTACCAGACACAGCGAACCGTAATACTGAAAAGGACAGCACTGACCGCTGTCCCTTTTGTCACGGAAGAAGAACTCTCTGCCAAATACATTTCTGTCACAGAAGACGGGCTGACTTCAATTCCCAGTGAAGTTATTTTGTGGAGTATGTTAATGGATAAAGAGCTGGACTACCCCTAGACACCTGCAGAAGAGTTTACAGTGCAACCACATATGAGAAATAAAAAGCTACAATGTTAGCTAACCAAACCCTTTTATATTTCCACTACACATAAAAATGAAATTAATCAGATAGCAGTTTCTACAAAAGCATGAGAATGCTAGCACTTAAAAATTACATGTACACTTAGGAAAATGTAACTTGTAAATTTAAATAGTCAACAGCAATCAAATGCTGGCCCAGGGAAGTAAAAGACAGCTGACTGAACAAACTGGCTTCTAGTGAGCAGTTATGTTGTTTTTCTGTTCTTATGAACAACCTCTCCAAAACCAAATTTATTTATAGAGAATTTCACTTAGCCTRCGAAAACACAGAAGCAACCTCCATCAACCTGCTGGGCACACCTGACTATGTAACAGACAACCTTGCTGGTTTTCTGTTAYATGTTCCTTCACAACCCTTAGTAAACACTGTGGTATGCCTTAAGCAGAGTGTATCTCTACTTGAAAGTAGTGCTAGAGAAAAATAGGTGATTCTTCCATCAAGCTCACTCTTCTATTAGAGAAGGATCCAAAGGAGAATGAAGACAGGAGAGCCTCAACAGATGAGGAGTGGGACAGGTGCTGACAAAACCACCTCAGAAGATATTCCAGGCACTGAGGTTAAAGCAGCAGGTGCTGTCAACCTGATCCTCTTACAGGGAGGCCGCAGAAGCAAGCACCTACCACTTGGCAACCAGCGATGTCACAGCACTGCTCTGTCTCTATAATGGATTTCCTTGACCGTGAAATGGCAACCAGCCCAAGTTAGAAAAGGGGAGGCTAAGGAGAAGATGTATCACTATTTATTCGTGCTTCAGTTTTAGTAATCAGCTTCCCAACTGTCCTCAGAAATGATGTCATTTCAAGTCCTGAGACAAGATTCGCATCCCATGTCAGATCCTCCCTCACTTCCTGGAGCTCAAACCACCAATCTATTCCCAGCTTGGATCATTGCAGAGGACAAGACTGGAAAAACACWTGGAAAGTGTTTGCAGCAAAGCCTACAGATACCAGGAAGATCTGAGAAAATACACAAACAAGGAAATTCCCTACCCACCCCCACCCCTCCACAAAATGAAAGGAAAACTATCCTTGAAACTGAGCTACCAAATTAAAACCAATATTCACATTTCCTTACTAAAGGGTATTGATTCATGATGTACCTTCAGAGAATGTACCCATGCCTTAAAAGCTCTGAAAGCACAGAAACACCCACTACATAAATTCTGAGGATGAAAAAGGAAAAATGTACCTCTTCCTTCTCTAATAGTGGCAGTGGTGAGAGAAGGAAGAAAAAAAAWAAAGCAGCTATTCTTCTTGTAGCTCCACTTTGTACCCTGGTAGCTCACATTGTACCCTGACTGTCATTCAGACAGTTTTGTTATTTACAAAAAAAGCCGTAAGGACTTTGTTTTAAACATATGCACAGGAGTCCATATTTCTAACTCTAATTTAGGAAAAAAAATCATAGAGATTTGCTTGAAAGTTACTATCAGACCAAGAATCTACTTGAAATCTGCTGCACAGATCTCAGCCAGCAGATATCTCTCTCACTCCGCCAACTTGTGGGTCACCAAAGGTTGCAATAAGAATAACATACACTGCCTTTCAAATGCAATGCTTGACAAGGACAGGCATGTTCACACCTCTTCCTTCTGTTCTGCACAATCAATCATTCAGCAAGTCAAACTATCACATATATGCCAAACTTTCCCTGGTCYTCAAAAAGACTTATTTCCCATGAGTTCAGGTTTTTTCATGTTGCTTTTGCCCCACCATCTCAAGCAAAAGTCAGTAGCAGGCTACAGTTTTCTCCCTCCTTGTAACTTCACGTTACAACATAAAGGGACACATAAGCTAGTGGAGAATTCATGTAAGCAAAGTAGCTTAAGTATGAAGGCACCAGCACAGAACAACGATAACTCATATGGCTAGACTCCTGCTCCTCAGGGCCAATGCATTTAAGGGACAAAAACAAAATTAAAAATCTGATATTAAATAAGGCAGAAGAAAACACACTGATTATCCTTCATCATCTAAACCAGTTTGATTCTTACACTGGAAAACAAATCTCTTAAAATAGTAACACTGATGTTGCAATTTAATATGAACGAGTACATCTGTGAAATCTGAAAAAAATTAATAATGTGTTCCTTTTATTATACAGKTATTTCTTATTTCGCTCATGTTTTTTTCCTTATGGGGAGGAGCAGGAATATTGTTTCCCAAAAATTAAGGAGTGATCCAGTGATCCTGCAAACTAACCTTTTGCTAACGTCACTAAAAATTATACCTTACAAAGCTCACAGTGTAATATCCTAGYCCCTTCCAGAAACCATTCTTAGTTCTCTTTTACTATCACACCAAACTATTCAAATTCATACCTATTATCGCAAGTTTTATGCTGAATATTGTGAGATCTTACTGACTTAGTGGTTTAGACAAGCTAAGACAGTGACATCAAAAAAGCTGCTCAGAAAAACACACAGAAACATATCCACCAAGAAACTTCAGAAGCATTATTCACCAATGAATATCACTTTCAACTTCAGTTTGTAGTCATTTATTTCCARACCTATTACACGCAGAACAAACACTTAACTACTGAAACTCTCCTTCATCATTTTGCTTTGTGTCAGCCCAAAGGATGATGTGCTGTCCCAGAGGATGMAACTGTGTGAGCTGCAACCAAACAAAAATAAATAGCCAAACAAGCTCACTCTCAGCAACTATGCTACCCATTCTTCCAGGCTTTGATACAAGTCATGGATGAAACAAAGGCAGTCCAGAAAGCATGCCTGGCTCCCCACACTTCACTGTCAGGGCAGAAAAAYCAATCACTTCTGCTGTTTGGTTAGCTGGGTGTTTGTACTAGGAGACAAGAATTTTCTGTGCACCCACAGGTTTCCTTGACTGGGCAACATTCTTTAATTATGAACTATTATCCTGCTCTCTGCACTGCCACTAGTCAATGCCATCTCACATGCATGGCCAGAAGGAAACAGTAAAAATCAAATGCAAGTGAAGCCAGTCTTATTGATGCTGATRTTCAATTACTGCATTACCTGCTTAGAGGTAAGGTGCTCTTTTTGATTTTTGCAGCCCTGTACCAGGCCATTAAACTATGTCCATCACATTAGCTCACCAAACCTTACAGGAATGAGGAGTGGTACTGCCTAGCTCACTTCAGAAAGSAGAATTCAAAAAAACTGGGAAGGGATTAGCACATATGATTATATGATATCAAGAATACTGTGAAACCTATGGTACTTYCAACATAAACGCTTCTCCCAGAAAGCTTGGAAGGTTGCAGGCTCTGCCAGGCCATGTTTGGTGACCAAAGCAGATCTGGCACAGACTGGCACCAGTGTACAGACTGCAGAGCAGCATGGATTATTCATGAGCAGACATAATCTAGTTGGCATGGTTTCCCCAATATCTGACTTTGCTGGTTTGTTCCAGAGCAAACCACAGAGTGAATTATATTTGTGGCAGGGATGACAAGAGACTGATAGGCCTAGTACAAAGCACAACAGGCTAGTTACACCTACAAACTTGTAAAATCTAGGCTATSTTATCAGAGTGTTGAACTAGCACCCTGATTTTCTTTGTTGCTGATTATTTTTTGCTCTTCCTTTATTCTGGCTATGATTTCCATCTCTTTGTTTACACAATGGCCTCCCCTTACCCTCAACCCTCCCTTTGCTGGCAGCAGGGCCATACTGTGGTTGTCAAGCAATCAGGAAAGGCCATGCTGTGTTTCACTGCCTTGAGGGAGACACCAACAGCATTTCCTTRGATGCTGCATAGGGCAGCAGTTCCCTGGGATGTACCTCTGTGGGTGTTCTCTGTATCACAGTGCGTCACAGGAGATAAGTCAGGCCACGTCTAAAGGAAATTGGCAGCATAGCAGATGAACATGGCCGGGGGACACTGTCTATACAGATAAACACAATCAAAAGCAACAGCAGTTGGCATTTATATAAGGGCAGATGCTATTCTTACCCATCTTGTTTGGCTCCTCTCACCCCAAATAGCCCACTGAGATACTACTGGAGGAGTAAGTGTCGCTGAACAAGAGCAACAGCATATGCTTTACAGCACTTCCAGAATCCAAACCCAACCAAGCATAAACAGATGCAAGGTCATTGCATAATGTTTGCCGAAATGGAGCAGTACCTCCATTTGCTGTATCCTGATTTGTGTACTTATATTCCAACTGTTTTATGAACACAGTTGTACTTTGTCTTCCTGCTTTCTCTTCCTAGAGAACTKCCCCAAGTTATTCCTAATTTAGATTGGCATAAGCAAAACCAAGCACACTGGAAGACAATTGCAAAGAAAAACCCATTCTTCAGTTATCCTGCACTTTCAGCTTACACTGCTGTAAAAGACATCCTGTTTTTCAGTTAAAAACTTCATGCTAATCAATCAAAAGAACTCATTACKTCAAATGATTCACATCAGGCCCCAAGCTGTATGAACAGAAGATAAAATATACTCAAGCAATCAAAGAGCCCGTTAGGTAACCATTTATATGATGAAGGGAATAAGAAGCACTGAAGCACTGAAGGGAAGGGATGATAAGATACACAGGCAGCAAAATAGATAAGTTGGACTTGTGTCATTTAGCAAAGTCTTGAAATGTCATTTAGCAAACAAAGAAAACAAATAAAATATTTACTTCTAGAATTAAAATATAATGTCAGAGAAGATTTGATAGAAACTTCACAGACCACTTACTTTTAATGTTTTGCACTCATATCAACATAGCATATTTTATATTATTACTAGAGTGCAGACAYGAACCTCAGAAAATCATACGTGACTACTCTGTCTTCTGTAARGAGCCGTTTCATGCCACTTGCCACCTATCTTTCTCTTGTTAAACAGCAGACATAAGAGGGAATGTTTACTGTATTTAAATACAGAATGTTCAGGTTTATAAGGCTTAAACTTCATCTGTGGCAGCAAAATTATTCGGTGCTCAAGTTACGCTGTGTCCCCCTGCTAACTCTTTACTAAAATTGGTGCCCCAATGGCAGACATGCAAAAATCTAAATCCCTGTATTAAGGTGACATAAATCACAGTACAGCTTWCTCACATTACACTCGGATTCATAGAGGCCTTTAAAAATTTGCATAGTCAGGATGAACAAGCTAACTGTTCCTAAGTTAATAACCACTGCCTCTTTGAGGCAGTGTGTCTTCTTGCCTGTGTCTGGTCAGCTTCTTAAGACCAGAAAATAGGCTCTTGTGTTCAACATTTAAAAGCAACAAAAATGCAAACAAAAAGTCAAAGTCTTTTTACCCAGAGCACCTTGGCTTTCTAAGAAATTGGAATGACAAATTCAAAGTAAAAGGTCATGTTCCCTAAGACTCAGTACAGTTCCCTTAAAGTAAAAACTCAGTACAGAGGGAAACTCAAAAGAAAAGAGGATCGCAACAGAAGTAYCCCAGTTCTGTCTTTTCAATTTTGAGGGTGTTTTCTTGAATAGTCAAGTGCAGCTGAGGCCAAAATTGACATGGGCAGAGCAGTTACACAGCATACATGTATTTACTCCAGTACCTAACTTTATTGTTCTTATGATAAAAATTCTAAAAAAGTACTCTTGACCTAGAGTACAAAACACTGCATTTACAGCACTTTAATCAGCAAGACTATTTTCTTCTTGCTTAGAAAAAGTCTGTTGAACTGCTATTTCTCATAAAGGTCCAGATTGAAAAATAATACATAAATTGATTTGAAATTTGGCCCTGATGATTTATTCCATGTTCAGCTTGCTTTTTTTAAAATTTTTTTTAACTTAGTCCTGCTCTACCCTTTTCTAAAGTATCAGCATGGCATTTGGCTGTAGAAATGGAAGAAGGCATAGATGGGCTGCAGTAACCAGCTTCTATCGGTAGCRAGAGCATGAAGAAGTTTAAGAAGTGGATGACCATCTTACACARCACTTCTGAATTTGGACCAACATATCTAATTATGCTCCTATTTTAGTTCTTYATGCCCCTATTTCACTTCTTTGATGGGAAGAGCTTAGCATGTGGCTTTGTTACATACAAAGCTACCTAACATGCACCTATTTCTTAGTATTTTTCCTCCTAAAAAGGACTGTACCTAATGGAAGAAGTTTTTGCTGATCAGTCCAACTACATCCTGAGGCAGTTAGAATGAACTTCTCCTTCACAGAATGTTTCAAGTTTTCAAGTACTAAGCTGCCTTCTCATCAAATGTTTTCCTAGACACATTATGTACATACAASCCAAAGAGTAAGTGAACAGGACAGGCAAGCTATCACAGATTTGCTTTTACATCTTTAGGGTGACTACTTTGCTTGCATGTTAAATCTGTACAGTGATGAATTTTATAAAGAAAAAATCCAAGAAAGAACTTTCAGATATTTAACTGAGACAGACAATACGATTGATGGGAAAGAAGGCCTGAGATAAAACTATACTCTAGCATTATCCTAGAAATATTGATAAACGTGAATAAAGGGGCAAAGTTCAACTTTTTGCAGAAGGAATTTCTGGTTCAGCCAATAATGGATGTTTCATCAGGAGCCAACTGAAAGCACATAAGACTCAAAACTCTTTGCTGGAAAGAAATAACCTAGAAATTAGATGAGTTACCAAATAGCTTAAGTACTTTGAGAATAAAAATACAACAGAGAAGTTGGGGAACTGTTCTTTGGTGGGTCAAGAAGCAAAGAATTGATTCAAGTCAGACAACCAAGGAGCAACAGAATTTAAATTCTGTGAAAAGCAAGCTTACTAAATACAATTCTGCATAAAGCATATGGGTGAGGAGGATGGGTCATATGAAAGGAAAKTGAAAGCTGTGATATTACAGGCACAAAATAATCACCCATTAATCAAAGACACTTTTTGTACCACAGAAGGTTCCTAAAGACCTGGAACACAACTGCTAAGCTGTCACAATCTCATGAAAAAGCACTTCCATGGTCAAAGCCAGGTGCATTCATCGGACCACAACCCGAAGGCCRCTGAACTCAGTGCCAGTGTGCAGAGACTGTATTGCAGCCTTTGCTCTGCTATCACTGTATTTGTAACAGCATTTTTTCCTGAACAAAGATAGTTTCAAGAAAGGGCCAGCATATGCTCTTGACAGAGATAACAAGAAACAAAAGGCARGGAAGCACAAATAACTACAGAAGCAAGCCCCTGAACGTGTTACTCGCTCAGCAAGKAGAATTTGTATTTATTAAAGAACTGAAATTCACATCTTTCTCTGGTCATATTACTTCATTCAATCCACCTCCCCTTTAATAATTTTCAGAAATTCACTACTTTCAGAAACAGCCTTCTTTTCCCCTTCTATTCTGAGCTCTTGCTTTCTTGTTATTTTAAAGGAAGGGGCAATTATTTAAGTTCGCTGGCTGGTTCTTTTCAGATGTTATGTTATCTATCCTAAATAACCTGTTGCATCATTGCTAATGGTATTCATCTAATTCTTATTCTTGCTTTGTATTAACAGTGGTTGACTGGCATTATTATTCAAACGAACACATAGAAAGCTTTTTTTTATTCTCAATTAAGTATCCTGCAAGAGCAAGCTGCTGCTGTCCTTAACTTCTCTGCTAAGCATTAATTACTTCCCCTGTCCCAGATTTCTCAAACGTACTTGCATGCAGCCAACACACCGAATTATACATATATATGTGAAACTTAATGCTGTGAGCATTAGACTGACAGAGAAAACCATATTTGGTTTGCCCTGTTACACCACAAATCTKAAATATATGTAACAGGACAAAATTAAGGCAAGATCTTAAAGAGTGCTCTCTCCCGACAAGACCTGAGACTTTCCTTTGGTCCTTCCCTCACAACCGTGAATCCCTTCACAACTGTGCTAGAGGGTCTTWTGGGATTCACAATGGCCCCACGTAYCTKAAAGRAGGCAGAATAAGAARGGGCAGTGGTCAGATGCTGTGAACGCCTACRGGTCTGAGTGTSGAAAGGTGGACGAGTGTGTAGYCATAAGGCTACCTCCCTTCTACAASAGCACTGCAGTCTCYCAGGGGCCARAATTAKTAGGCTAAAGTAAACCCAGCACTTGCAAAGTGTGATGTATTAATCTGCTGGTACCTCACCTTGTTTCCTACACATATTTACAGATTCTGTGTTGTAACTATTTTTTGGCTTCCCAGTCATTAACTAAACCATAGCTTGTGYTTTAGGTACAGACTCTGGAGTTATGAAATCTGAATTATCTGAAAGCAAGAGAGGCCTTGTGTGACCAAAGTGCAAACTCCACGGAGTTTGCTGACGGGGATGGATCATGAGGAAGGTTGTGCTGTTGTAATCTTAAGTGAAAACTAGTGGACATCATGAAGACACTACATAAGAAATCAAGAAGACAGAGATGGGGAGGAAAAAGAGGGAGTTCGGAAACAATTAAGTTTTAAGTTCACGGGCCTCAAGAGCCACGCGAAACGGCGGCGGGCCCGAACCCGCCGGCTGTGAGCCGGGGCTGGGCGCACTCACCTTCCCGCAGCCCGGCGGCCCCCAGAGGATGAGGGAGGGAATCTCGTGGGACTCCAGCAGGGACCGCAGCAGGGTCTGCGCCCCCAGCACCCGCTCCTGCCCCACGTAGTCCCCCAGCGTATCCGGCCGCAGCCGCTCGGCCAGGGGCTTCCCCTCCAGCTTCTGCGCCAGGCTSTCCCCGCACAGCGCGGCCGAGCATCCATGGCCCGGCTGCACGGCGGCCTTGTCCCGCCCCGCGCCGCTGCTCCCGCCGGCGGCTCCCGATCTCTGCTTGCCGCCGCGGCCCTTGTGGAAGTGGGAGACGACGGGGGACCCAGCGGCCGGGCCGGCCTCCCCCTCCTGTCCCTCGGCCTGGCTGCCCGGCGGGCCGGCGGCGAGGCGCGGGCGCTTGCTGGGSAGCTCGGCCCCGGGCCCGTCGGCCTGCAGGCAGCTGTCCAGGTGCGCGTTGATGTCGGCGGCCGGCAGCTCCCGCAGGCACACGGGGCACCGCACCAGCCGCTCCTCCTCGGCGCCCTCCGYCGGCTCCATGGCTCCCGCGGCCGGGCAGGAAGCGGGGCCGCCCGCAGCCCTTCGGGAGCTGTAGTCCCCCGGGCCCCGCTCCCCGCCCCGGCAGCGAGCGTTTCCTGCCCCTGGGCGCCGTGATGGGCGGCATCGACAAGGCCTGTGGTCTTGGGGTCCGTCTGCTCTTTCATTGAAATATGTGAAGACTTCGTTCTCTGTGAAAGACCCATCAATCAATTACTAATATATAAAAAAATTTAGGTTCAAAACCCAACTCTTGTATCGTGCAAATTTCATGGCAGGTTGTGTTTCACAGATGGGCACAGTAAGTGGTACCATTTGCATCTTAATTTATGACCCGAAGTTGACCCACTGGTAATTCTTTCCACATTACATCTTGTTTTCTTTCTTAAAGTATATGTTTAGGTTTAATTATACCCCGTGACATAATAGTTCCCAGCTTGTAAAATTCAGGTCAGTCTAATGTCAGCTGTATCAGGAGGTAAACAAGTCTCGCTACTGGCTAACAGTATCCCCARGCTTAAAATTTGAAAATGGTTGGTTAGAAACCAGCCAACAGGTCAGAAATAAAATTTTTTATTTGAATTGATGATGGAGGCCAAACGACTGAGTTTGAAGCAAAGTGCTTTACAGCCCATTATGTAAACCTAGTTCTGACTGAAGGGATTACAATCTATAACCAGATACTGAATGTGAAATGAGTTTTAGTGGGTTCTTCTTTTTGGCTAATACCTATCTGCCTGCCTATTTCTATACCTGACCAGTTTTTACTGGTCATTTACTATATTGTTTACATTCTTATAGTGCAAATATATTGATTTGCTGCTATAGAGCAGAAAAAGCAGCAGGATCATAGGTATGCACTGCCTGTGCTTACAGCTAGGCAGTGGTTTTATGACATATGTGATCTCCAGATGTGTAAGTGAAGATGTGATTCATGAAGCAAGATATTTTTCTTGAAGTGAGAGATTGGCTTGCAGAAGATGATCCAGAAGAAAGTATCTCCCAGGCCAAAGGTGGGGAATGTAGCTTGCTGGGGCAAGGTTTTCACCCTCCTTTGGGGGAAATGGAGCTTCATGCCATGTGAAGGTATAGTTTCCCATTGCTCAGTGGCACATGACCAGGGTGAGATTTCCTCYCTGGGACTTTGGAGGAGGCGCTTGCAAATCAATTTCACTTTCCATTGTTTAGCTTTTTGTTTCAGGGATATATYAAAATAATAATGGTGGAGAGGGCAATCATGCTTGGACTCAGTCCTAGTCTCTGCTTGGTAACAGAGCCCRGAAAGACATTTGAGCTTGCCATCCCATTAATATTTTCCCAAATAACTGACACACAGGTCAGCTTGAAGAAACATGTCCTTTAATTAGGACATGTCATTCTCATTAGATAGATGGCCACATTTGGTGATCAAAGCCTAGASCATGATGTGCTCTTTTGAAGAGCTATGGAGAGCCTGAATCAGCTTTCCTTGGTTGCGGTTCTGTTAGGTCACAAGCAATCTTCACAGTCAGGTCACTCTAAATCACTTTGGGATTTGAGTTGCTGTAGACATGGTGGTAGCAGGAGGGAATCTGGAGGCATCTCCTGTTTTTTCTGCCAGCTTTCAATTATATCATAGTACCCCTTGTCATGGAGTAGATCAAACCATCTGTAGAATAATGACTCGATGGTCAGACTTCATTGGGCCTGCGATTGTCAGGGCCTTTAGGAAAACCTAAGTACCTGAACTTGAGAAATGGGAGAGGAAAATCTCATAAAGTGTTCTTTGAGTTGAAAGTGATGGAAAGGGACATCAGATTATGAAAGCTGGTGAGAGATGTTCAAAGCAGTAGACTGGACATTTTTACATACTGGGTGCTTCTTCAGGTAATGAATGCCTTACAGTCCCCTGATGATGTCCCTGTATCTCCTGTATTAATAGCATGATTTAGAATTCCAATAACATGGTAGCAAGAATATCTCCAGAAGACTCATTTGAAAACTGCAAACTTTTATGCTCCTTTGCTGTCCATCATCTCCAAATGTCACCACTATCCAACCATCTCCTGTGTCRCATGGGATAGCACATGGCATCTTTCACATCTGGGAAGTCTGGAGAAAAAACTGTGGGCTCTGCACACAGTTGGTGTAGGTACACAGTTAATCTGCACGTGCACAGATGGGGAGTCAAAACACTGAGTAAGGTTGCAAGGTGTTTGGGTAAAAAGAACTGATTTATTTGGGTTTTTGGTTGTACACYGAAAGCTGTAACTCTGTGCTGCTAATGACTGTAAGGTTGTATATAAGTACTTAATCACACCATTTCATTTATGGTATTTACACAAGTTAAATTGAAAACTATGATCTGTGTAATGAGATTTAACAGACTCAGCTTTCTAGAGCTAAGGCAATAACATGGTGCTTTTGTAGCTGGGTTTCCAGTACGGTGGAGGAAGGGTTGCAATAACAGCAATAGAAATGTTTTGGTCCTCTATTTCCTGGGTGTATAAAGAGATGCTAAGTGAAATTTTAGAGTAGTTTCTCTTATTCTTTAAAAAAATTCGTTGTTCAGAAGGACATATATTCCAAGTATAGCCGAACGATTACTTGAGGTGGGAACCCCCCACTTTGAGGTGAGAGAAAAACCTTCTACAGAGAGTCAGTGCTAACAGCTTGACTTGCAGTGGCCTTCCAACCAATCCTACCATTGGATTAGACAAGCYTCCAGGATCCCACATCTTGTACGAACCAGGCACATTGCTGGGACCTGCAATGGGGAAGAACCCAGCTGAGGACTGTGCTTTTTTGCAGCCTTCAACAGAGGGTCAGAAATCGCCACCATTTTGGCAGCTACTTATTGTTGTATAGGATAGTGGGAAGAGAGAGGAAAGACTGTATCATGCYTGTACTACTTTGTTTAGTATCTAAAATCTTTATGGACTTAAAAAAGCAGGGTCCTTACTTATCAGCTTGCTRGAACTGCAATAGAAAAGAGAACCTGTTGAGCAACAAGGAACCACTGAGGTGGCTAAAAAGTGAGGAGTGCTCCATAAGCAAGGTCTGCAGCAACGGCAGCATGTATTGATTTCATTGAGCTAAATAGTGTCTATGAACAAATTAAATTATTCTGCTCTTGTAACCTGTTTGAACTATCTGGTGTTCAATGTAGAATGGCATCTGTGAACAGCTAGTTCTGTATACTCTATGTATTGGTTCAGCAAGTGCAAGGAAATATAAAGTGTAGCAACATGGTAATTTTCTAAGGCAAAATGCATGAATAACACTGAGACCTCTTATTTGTCTTTCTTTTATACAGCCAAGAAAGAGGAGAAATCAGAAGTTACGAATGTTCACTGGTTTATGAATCTAAGGTGGAGAGGAGAACAGACAGTAAATTAACTGGACACAGTATGAAGCTACTTAAAATTAACAGGCTGGAAGAGATAAATACACGATACAGCACAAACAGACTGGAAAAAACRGCCTTTTTTCAGAGTGTGGAAAAAATGAAGATGACTAGAAGCTTTCAGGAAGAAAAATGCACTGAATCAGATTCTGGARCAGGAGATAAAACGGTAACTAACTAACTGCATAATTAATTTTGTTTTCCCAAAGCACTGCCTCCTTCTTTTTTTTTCAGCTAGTTAAGGTGTTTACTATGTGTATTTTTCAAAAGCCTTGAAATTTTCGTTACCATCTATGAAAATGTGTTGCAGCTYGGAAAGATTGTGCTAAGATCTGATTATTGAGAGATAGCTCTGTCCAAGTTAAGRTGCAAATGAGACCATATTCCAAAGTCAATAGTATGGATTTTATTTAATAATGAATTTGAGGTAGRGGGATAGAAATGGAAAAGAGGAGGCAGGGAGACAGAGATTGAGTAAAAGCTAGTCACCGCCTCTGAACCAAATGGCATCCCATTAGTCCTTTTTCTCCCATGGCTTCTCCGTGGTGGGGCTCCTGAGGTCATTSAAAACTCTACATTATTTATACATCTTAGCAAAGAAAGGAATTAATGTTCATTGGCTACACAGTTTTCTTATTCTATTGGTTAAATAATTTCCTCACTTCTAATACTAATTAGRGCACATGCTCAATTTTTCTCTTCTTTTGGATCAGTGGGTTTCTTGAGTCGGTGGTTGCAATCTCCCTCCTGGACTTTTTACCCAGTCAGAGCTGATTTCAGYGCAGTTGCTGAGTTGGCTTTCCTTGTGGACCGTAAATTCCATATTCTGTTTCCTTTTTCAGTGATAYGTTCTTCTCCCCCGTATTGGTTATATGGGCTGAGATTACACTCGGGCAACAGCAACACCTTTGTTTTATCTTGGGTTCTTGTTGCAGTGGCCTGACTAATTGGGGGAGGGCTTTGGTGGTGGCAGATGCCAGCTGTCCCATAGCTTGGGGTGATCTTTGATTGGTGATATATACAACATACAAATAGTTGCTTCTTTACACAGTTTGCCACACTGGGAATTTTTGTCTATATATGAATTATGCGCTAAGCAGATCACGCCTCTGCTGGGTCTGGAGTTAGCACCACACCGTTGCTCTGTTCTCAGTTAYCTTCTGGAAAAGTTCTTCTGTGGCCCCAACAGTATTTGAGAGAGCCAGCTGTGATCTTTCTTACAGACTGGTCAGCATCTTTTAGTCTTTTGTGTTCACAGAAGCAAGCACATGTGTTGTTATTCTGGGGTTTAATTACTACTGGACTTAATATTCAGAAACTGTAAAAGAATTCTGTGCTTCCACCATTCTTCAGAATCAGAAGATAAGCATGGATTTTGTTGGRTTCGTATTTTGAAAGCACTTGTCCTGTCTAACAGCTCTGGAGTTATTGGAGACTGAATGAATGCCATGGAAAGAACAGATTCTGCAGAGGTACTGAGGCAGCTTTGTCCTTTGCGCCCCACTAGCTGGCAAGCAGAACATTATTACATGCTGGCTGCCAGATCTGCAGGGCTGAGTGTTGTCAGTGTAGCTCTGTTCTCCACCTGTCTCCAGTAAGAACGGTGGTGGGCACYATGGTATGGGATCTCTGGTAGGAAAATGACTCTGTGACCATT